CCTCTCCTCATCCACCCTCTCCCTGTTCGTTCTGGCCGTCAGCCTTCTCTTTGCCGTCGTCGTCATCTGTTTATCTTATCCGTCCTCCTTCCCCTTCCTCCTCCTCCTCATCCTCCTCCTCCTCCTTCTCCTCCTCCTCCTTCTCCTCCTCCTCCCTCCTTCTCCTGTCGTACTGCGGCGCTATGGATTCGCATGTGCAGGTCAAACTGGTGCCTATTTGTTTGGTATACGGTATACGTGACTGCTGGCTGCAGTGAGGTGGAAGGCGTGTTGAGCAGTAGGTAGTTCTTTATCCTACTCTCTCTCTCTCTTTCACCCGTCTCGCTCTCGTCCTCGACACAGTCTGTTTCAAATCATCAAGCTTGAGCAACGACATGGCATGACGAGTCGAAGTGGCTGTGAACTTACATACAGGCTGTGCCCTCATCGGGACGCCGTCGGAATAACTCCGGCTTCGTCGAGTTTGTGGCCAATTCAGACTTGGGGTGCGCCGACGTTGTTTTATGGCATCCGAGTTCTCGATTTTGTACCAGATCGGGCGTCGGAGCAGGGTTTGGAGCAGGCGGGGGAGAGCGGGTGACTAGACGTAAGAGTGACCTTTCGCCGGAGTGACCTTTGGTGCGGGCACAGATGGGTCCCCAGCTGGCTGAAAACGAAGCAGGAGCAACGGCCTGCCTGCCCAGGTTTGGTCCCCACGCGGCCCCCCAAAAAGCCGCGCACCAAAGGTCACTCTTACCCAGGGTCACTCTTGCGTGTAGCCGAGAGAGTAGAGAGTTAGCAGTTACAGCACGAGAGCTTGGGAAAAAAAACAAACAACACAATCATAGAAGCTGGCGTCGGAAAAGACGTTGGGGAAGCCTGAACGGCCGAAGCGTCGATGTACACAGAAGCGATTGCCGCAAGCGATTGTCGTCTTCAGATTCGGTAACGTATTCGGTATGCAAGTGGAGGTAGGAGTGCACAGTTCGTTTGAAAGTGATGTGCCAAACTGGAATCATCCAATCTCGTGCGTCATGGGGCCTTAAGAGTAAGGGCAGGTACGACTAGATAAGTGCCCCGAGAGTCGGCTCAACGAAGCATGAAGCTTGAACAGCCATATGGCACGAAACGCCAAAGTGGGTGAGAACCTACATGCAGACATTGCCCTCATCGGGTATTCCTCTCCTTCCCCCTCATCTTCCCCCTCCTCCGTCTCCTCCTCGCCCTCTGTCCTCTTCCACCTCTCGGCGGCGAGCCAGGGGGAAGTGAGAAGAGGCGGGCCTTCTCAGAAAGCTCGGAAGTTCCCCGCCCTTCTGAGAAGTTCTCAAGTTCTCGAAGCCCTCCCCGAAGACAGAGAAGCCTTCTCCGAAGGCGCGAGGGCTTCCGAGAAGCCCCGCCGCCTTCCGATGAGAAGGCCTTCTCCTCCTCGCTTCCCCGCCCATCGCTCGCCGCCGATCCTCGTCACCGTCATCCCTGTCCCTCTCCCTGCCCTCCTCCCTCATCTTCACCCTCTCTCTCTCTCTCTCTCTTCCGGGCTTCTCCTTCCGGTCTCCTTCCCTTCTCCAAGGGCTCCCTCGAGGGCGCGAAGTTATTCGCGCTTCGCGGTTTGGCTCCGAGTCCTCCTCATCCTCTTGTTCTCAGAAGGCGAAAACCCACCCCCACCCCCAGTCCCGACGCCCATCCCCGAGCCGGCGATTCAAGGGGTCGGGACTGGAGGTGGGGGTGGGTTTTCTCCATTCCTGGACCCCGAAAACCCACCCCCCACCCCCAGTCCCGACTCCTTGAATCGCGGGTTCGGGGATGGGCGTCGGGACGGGGGGTGGGGGTGGGTTTTCGCCTTCTCCTTTTCTCCCCTGGGGGGCGGCGCGAGAGCGCGAAGCCCTTCGCGCCTCGCGCCTCGCGGAGCGCGGAGCCCGAAGAGTTGGGAGCCCTATGGAGCGGGTTCGGGGCCGTCCTTGGCCTCTCCGCGGGCCCCCGCCGGGCCCTCGGGAGCCAGCAGGAGAAAAAAAACGACGAGGGACGAACAGCCCGCCCCGGGGAGGTGGTCAAGGCTTATGGTGTTCCAGCCTACACTCCAGGCGATGCTTAAGAAAACCCAAGTTTTCGGCCAGAGTCTCGATTATTCTTAACGTTTGAATGTAAATCCTTACCTTTTGACTAGACATTCTGGGTTTGATTTCAGTTTTTTGATACTATGAATTTCTTAACCCATGATTTCTAAAGCATTTCGCAGGGTGTACTTTAGCCGTGATCACCAGGCAGGATTTCGAGCGCCAGAAAAGGACCCCCAAACTGGAGGGTTTTCACGTTTCGGGCCCTGGGAGTCACTGCTCCGACACTGTTTCGACACTCTTTCGGCACTCTTTCGACACTTTTCCGCGTGCTCGAAATCATTTCTGGAATGTGGTCTTTGAGTACGATGGGAGCAACATAAGTCAAGGCCTCCCATGGCCCACGCATCGAGGAACAGAATTGGAGCAGCCATGTGCCTGGGAGCACCTCTCAGAAGGCCGGAGGGCTTTTGAGAAGCCCCACCGCCTTCTGAGAAGGCCTGCTCCTTTTCACGCCCCCCCCGGGCGTGCCGTCGACTTGCGCTTCCGATCCTGCGCTTTCCCTCCCCCGTTTGGAAGCAAATCATGGGAGCATTGCATACCGTCGCAATTCCATCTTTGGCGTCGATTGGCGTCTGGAAGTCGATGAGATGGCGCCGATTTGGCGTCGGCTTGCGCCGATTACGGCGTTGTGCCGACTACGGCGTAGATGCAACGTCGATTGGCGTCGACTAGCGTCGACGAGCGTCGATTCGCAAATGCCCACAAGATGGTATGGGAGGCTCCCATGAGCTGGCACCGAACCTCCCCCGTGCGTTCCCCGCTGCCGCTGGGGGCCCGGGAGGTGGCGACGCGGGCCTGCGGGCCGTGCACGACAAGGGCCTGGCGTTCGGGTCGGTGTGCCGCGAGGATTGGCGGCCGTCCTGGTGCTGGCGGAGGCCGTTCGGGCGATTTTTTTCCGTGCGGTCCTCCTCTTCCCCTCTGGGGCAGCGATAGCGGGTGATAGGATGAGGAGGATGAGGAGGAGGAGGAGGAGGAGGAGGAGGAGGAAGAGGAGGAGGAGGAGGAGAGTTCCCCCCTCCTCTGCCTCCTCTCCGCTTCGTGCGCTCCGCCAGCCTCGGCGCCCGCAGCCCGATGACTACCGTTTCCTCCATGCTTCACGGAGGTTTCTGCCAGCGCGGTTCCGCTGGCTGTCTCCAGCTCCCAGCAACAATCCTGGATCGGGGGCAACGATGGGTGGGGGATAGGCATAGGGGGGATGCATCGACCCCCAATCGCCCATGGATCGCCGATTGGGGCCCGATGGCCCCAACCTGCACAGGAAGGTGCGGATTCACTATCTATCGCCGATCTGTCTGCGATGCATCGCCGATTCCAGGTCGATGCATCCTCCCCTTTGCCATTTCCCCTCTATCGTTGCCTCTCATCCCCCATTTCCCCTTTTTCTTTCCCTGTCCCCATACGGGAGGCTGAAGGCACGTATTCGGGCCGGGCGCGGTTGAGCGTTGCATGCTCTGGGCTTCCAGCAGTCTGTCTTTCGTCGGGCCGCGCCACATTTGAACAAGGGTAGCGCAAACCATCTCAGAAACCGTCTGCTTGCGTTTCATTGCCAGGGCCCTGCGCTTTGCGGTTGTCGTTGCGGGTTGTTGCTTCCGTAGCAGACGTCGCCAGATCGATTGGTTTTTGTTAGGGGGTTACTTTGGTTTTGTAGTCATCATCGGCTCTCTCTCTTTGGGCCATCATCGGCCTTCTTGAAGCCATCTTGGCCCGTCTGGAGGCCATCTTGAGGCACCGAAAGTGACGGTGGAGCTGTGGAGAGCATACGCGGTTCCCCAGGAGTTGGGCTGATGGGGTGACGGGAGCCCATTACGGTCAGGAACGTTTGCTTAGTGTGTCGCTCCACTGGTTCTGGCCCACCACGCTTCGGCGCGACAGGCTAATTACATTCCAGTCCCCAGGCATCAGAGCCCCGAGTTTTTCCAGCACCCTCCCACCCCGACAAGCTATCAGCTTGCAGGGCATCCGCCAGTGCCGCCTCCGCGACACGCTAATCAAAAGTTCCTACGATTAGCCTGCCAAGCATTTGTTGCAGTGGGGGCCCATGCCAAGGAACACCCTGCTTGCTTCCAGGGTGCCCTGTGTTTCTTGGGTTTCGATGGTTTTGCCATGGAAAGCGTGACGTGCCCACACCGAAAATCCATGGACGTCCTGGGGTCTCAGGGTTGGGTTTCTTGTGGAAGGGTTTCTTGTGGACTGGCCTCCACTGTAGGGTTTCTGAAGGTCTTCTGGGGTCCCGTTTGGGCTCCTCTTGGAGCCGTCCTCGGGGCATCTCGGGCCCAGCTCGGGGGCTCTGGGGCGCCTGCGGCCGTCTTGGAGGCCTCTTGGCGGCCTCTTTGGGGCTTCTTGGGCCGTTTTGGACGCCCTGGAGGCCGAAGGGCCGACATTTGTAACATCAAGAAGGAGGTTTCATATGTTCAGCGATGTGGGCCGCTGCAGACCCCCCGGGGCGTCCTTTTTAGAGCCCCCATTGAGCCGTCTTGGGGGCCTCTGGGGCCGTCTTGAGGCCATCTTGGGCCGTCTTGGGGCAATCATGGGCCGTCGTGCGCCGTCTTTTGGCCATCCAGGGGCCGTCTTGTTGCAATCTTGAGGCCGTCTTCCGGGCATCTCGGAGGCGAGGTCTCAAAACATCGAGTTGGTGGGGTCGCGGGACCGCCCCAGCTCAAGATTGGCCAGCTCATCAGCTGGCAAGCCTACGCCTCCAGAGATGCGCACATGGCCCTGGGCCCGCAGGGGGCCCGCCGTACTGGTGACGCTTCGCGTATCCCCGGCATCCCTTGAAAACAACGGTGCCCAGGGGGGTTGCCAGGAGGAGGGAAGTAGATACGCAGCTACGCATCTAGTGAAACAGAAGGGCCAACCATGATGGCCTTGGAGACCTCTGTGAGCGTCTTGGAGGTCTCCTGGAGCCGCATTGGAGATCCCTTGGGCCTTTTCTGACCCGACACGCCACGACAGCCTGTTCGTTCTTCAAGCTCGGCAGGGTGAAGACGTGAAGTGCACCACAGATAGCACCACCCAGATTGCACCACGTGTATATTGGGCCACACAGTTCACACCCCATACATGACACCACGCAGCGTACACCACATGTGCTGCTCATCGTCGATGTTGCCACATTCTGCACCACAGAGTTGGCCCGAGCCACCGGGCGCCACGGGCGCGGGCCGCCCCGGGTGGGCCGCATGGCCGCGGAGCGGCGCGGCGGGTGCTGCGGGGGCCTCCGCTCGTGGGGCCTCGCCGCCGCCGCGGCGCCCGGCGGCGGGTGCGCGCACCTCCTCGTGCGCTCGGCCGCGGGGCGCCGCGGCCCCGACGCGCGGCAGCAGCTCCTTCGGAGGGGGCCGGACGGGCAGACCGCGCTGCACCTTGCGTCGGCGGGGGGCCGTGGCGGCGAGGTGGCCGCCCTGCTGCGCGCGGGGGCGGCAGCGCCGCGAGCCCTGGGCGTCAGCGGCGAATGCGTGGCGCCTGGCGGCGGCATGGAGTGGGTCGACCTCCGGGACGCTGGTGGCCACACAGCGCTGATGGCGGCGTCGCTGCGCGGGCACGTGGCCTGCCTCCCCCCGCTGCTCGCCGCTCGGGCAGACCCGGCACTTCCAGACGCTGCGGGCCGCACCGCCCTGCACCTCGCGGCGGCCCAGGGGCATGCGGAGGCGTGCAGCTTGCTCGTGCGTTCCGGCGCGGGGGGGTTCCGTCTGCTGAGCCGGGTGGAGAAGTCCGGGTACACGGCCCTCCACCTCGCTTGTCGCGCGGGCGCCCTCGAGGTGGCCCATGCGCTGCTTCTGTGCCCCGACTGCGCCGTGAGGGCAGCTGCAAGCGATGGGGCGACGCCCTTGCACATGGCCGCTCGGGCCGGGGCCAAGTGCCCGCCTGGACTGGTCCCTCTGCTCCTCGCCGCCCGTGCTGCACCACTGGATCCGGACCGCTTCGGGTCGACGGCGCTCCATCTGGCATGCGCGCGCGAGGTGCGAGACCCATTCGTCCGAGAGCTGTTCGCGTCCCTGCCGGCCGACCTCCAGCTGCGCGGCGTCACGGCCGTGGACGCGGACGGCCTCACCCCGCTCCACGTCCTCTGCCAGGCGGGCGGCGCCCGCGCGGAGCTCACCTCTCGGCTGCTCGCGGCGCGCGCCGACGTGGGCGCCCTGGACTCCGGCGGAGGCTCGCCGCTCGACGCCCTCTGCGCCGGGCCCGCCGCAGGAGCGCCGGGCGCGGCCGCGGCGGCTCGCGTGCTCCTGGCGGCGCGCGCGGATCCCGGCGCCCGCGTCGCCCTGGGGCGCACCGCGCACGACGCCGCCCGATGCGCGGGCGCCGCCGCCGCGCCGCTCCGCGCGCTCCTGGCGGCCGCCGAGCCGCCGGGCGGGGCGGCCGACGGCGGTCCCGCGGCCGCAGCGCCGCCGCCGACGCCGCGCTTCGGCGGTGTGCACGGCGCGTGCTCGCTGAAGGCCACCCCGTCGTACGCGCCGCGGGTGCCGCTGCCGTGCCTGCGGCCACACAGTCTAGGGCATCTGGCACTTGCGGTGCACGAGGGCATCATGTGCAACGCATGCTACGAGTCTAGCGATGTGCTTCGCAGCACCACACCCTGCGGTTGGATTCAGGGCGTACGTTACAAATGTGTCGAATGCCGGGAAGTTGACCTTTGCGAGGCTCACAGATCATCAGAGTTGGCAGACAATGGGCATCATCTCCAGCACACACTAGTACCGATGCGGCCGCCCGGAAGCACCCCTCATCTCATTCGCTCGGATGCAAGTTTGCTGTATCGCGTCGTTGAAATATTCAGAGCCAATGCCGATCGACCATTCTTGGGGATGCCTAACGATTCGCGGCATTCTTCTTACATTTGGACCACGTACGCTGAAGTGTTTGGATATGCAAGGTCTCTGGCGATGGCCCTACGTAGTCTGGAGGCAGAGCTCTGCGTTTCGCGACCTTTTGTGGGACTTTGTCTGAACAACTGTGTGGAGTGGATTGTTTCCGATGTTGCATGCTTGATCTTGGGCTGGGTGAGCGTTGCCATTTACGATAACAGTCACGCTGGTTCAATCGAACAGACGGTACGCAAGAGTGGTGTGGCGGTAGTCTTTTGCCATGATGATCGAGTTGACGTTTTTGTTTCTTTGGGCATCAAACTATTGATTGTTGTTCCGAAGCTTGTTATCTGCGGTTCCATCGTTGACTCTCGCTTGCTCGATGTAGCAGGGCCACATCAAATTTCCTGTCAGTGGCCACCGCTTGCCGAGGCGCCAAAACGATTTCGCTTTCACGACCTCGTCGGCTCGGCTTCAGACTCCCATGGGATGCTCGTGGACGACAACGACGCTGCTGTGTTCACACTTTTCAACACGAGCGGCTCGACTGGGAGCCCGAAGCTTGTCATACGGAGCCGCAGGACATGGTGCACGACACTCCTGGACATCGAGAGGGGCTCTGTGCAGCACGGCGATCCGTTCGTGCTGCGCTTCCTGTACTCGTCGCTCGCTCACTCGGGCTCTCGCAGCAGCCTGTGGTCTGTGCTTGCGAGCGGAGGTGCCATCGCAATCCATGTTGCCGGTGGCGCTGAGATCGTGGAGGCGGCTTGCCAGCTCATGCCAACGAGCATCTTTCTTCCTCCGGCCTTTTGGGCCCGCATCCACGCGGACTTCACCGCCGGCATCGAGCGAGGTGACGACGGCGAGGGTCCACCATCGGCCGTGCGTGCCCGAGCCATCTCTCGACTGCGCCGCAGGCTGCAGGGCCTCTCGTGCAGAAGCCGCTGCATAGCGACCGGCGGTGCGCCGATGTCGAACGAGCTCCGTGCCTTCGTTGAGGAGTTGTTTGCGGTCGGCCTCGTGCAGTCGGGATACGGGATCACTGAAGTCGGTGGCATTGCCAACGAGGGCATCGTCGATGACGGCACCGAGCTCGTGCTGCTGCCCGGTGATTTTGGCAGCAGCACCGCGGATGCGGGCGCAGCCGGAGTGGTCGAGCGGGGTGAGGTCTGCGTGCGCACGAAGGAGCCCTTCGAAGGTTACTACGGAGACCCCGAGCTCACAGCTGCTGCGCTGACACCCGAAGGGCTGTACCGAACGGGCGACATCGGCGAGAGAGATGCGGAGGGCCGGCTCCGCATCGTCGGGCGCCTCGGGAGCACCGTGCGGCTGGCGAGTGCGAAGTTTGTGTGCCTCGACGACTTGGAGACGGTCTACGCTGGGCAGTGCCCCTCCATCGCGCAGCTGTGCCTGCACGCGGACCTGCCGCGCAGCGCCCTCGTGGCCATTGCCGCCCCGGCCCGCGCTGCGCACGGCAGGGCGCGCCAGGATCTCCTCGCGGAGCTCGCGGCGGTGGGGGCGGCGCAGGGCCTCCCTCTGCACGAGGTGCCGTGCGGCGTGGTCGTGGCGGCGCCGTTTGCGGTGGGCAACGGCCACGCGACGCCGTCGCACAAGCTGTGCCGCGCGCGCATCGTGGCCGACTACGCCCGGGAGATCGAGGCGGCCCTCGTCAGCGTGCACGGCGCGCCGTCCGCGGAGGTCGTCGAGGAGGTGCTGCGAGCCGTGCGGGGGGAGGAGGGCTGCCAGCTGAGCGACGGCACGCAGCTGGCTTCTTTAGGCCTCGACTCCCTGCGCGCAGCACGCCTCTTGGCACGACTGAAGCAGCAAGGAGCTCCTGTGACGCTCGACACCCTGACGAGCGTGCGTACCATCTCAGAGCTTCGAGCCGTGGTGCACGGTGGTGACTGTCCGCCAGCATCCGACGCGTCACTGGGCCGAGCGCTGGCTGATGTCGACGTGTTGTCACGCGAGATTGCATCCGTCCCCTTCGCAGATTCTTCTCCGTCGCAGTTGCTCCCAGAGGCCGCAGTCGTCTTCGTCACTGGCGCCACGGGGTTCATGGGGGCGCACTTGTGTGCGCGCTTGGCGGCACTGGCGGCCGTCCGAGAGGTGATTTGCCTTGTCCGCGCGGGTCACGGCTCCGCTGGCGCGGATGCAGCGCGGCGCTTGGAGGCTTCCGCCGCCAAGTTTTGCGTTCCTCCTTCGCCCAAGTGGCGCGCGATTGCCGGGGATCTGGCCCTGCCGCACTTCGGGCTCAGTGATGGTGCCTGGGCACGCCTGTGCGGCGCCGTGTCGTCCGTGTGGCACCTTGGTGCAGCAGTGCACTGGAGCCACTCCTACGACGCCCTTCGGGGGTCGAATGTCCAGGGAACGGCGGAGGTGCTGAGGCTGTGCTGCACGGGAGCGCTGAAGCCCCTGGTCTTTGTGAGCACGTGCAGCGACCGAAGCCCCGAGGAGCGGGTCGCGCTCGCCGTCCTGCGCGCGGTGGCGCGCTCGGGCTACGCCCTGAGCAAGCTGGCCGCGGAGGCGCTGGTGGAGAGGGCGGGCGCGGCGGGCCTCCCGTGCCTCGTGCTGCGCTGCGGCCTCGTCTCGTGGCACCGCACCACGGGGGCCTGCAACCCGGACGACATCCTGAGCCGCCTCCTCCGCTCCGCGGTCGAGCTTGGCCTCGCGTACGATGGGGAGCCCGCTGCCCTGCTGCCCATGGATGGCCTGCCCGTCGACGACTTCGCCGCGCTCGCCCTCGACCTGGCGCGGGCGCATCCCTGGAGTCGTGCGGGCGCGGCGGCCGTGGCGCTCAGCGTGGCCGCGCGGCCGGAGCTCCAGGCTCTGGACGCCAGGGCGCTCTTCGACGGCCTCCGGGGCTGCGGCTACCCGCTCGAGCGGTGCACGTGGGCCGCGTGGCGCCAGCGCGCCGCGAGCGCCGCGGCCGCGGCGGCGATTCTCCCGCATCTCCCGGCGGGCGCGGGGCCTCCGTTGGGGCTCCGCGTAGGTGGCGCAAGGGCGCAAGGGGCACAGGCGGAAGGTGGTTTGCGGCCGGCGGCCTCGGTTGCTGCAGTCGTATCTTTCCTCGTGGGAGTGCGGGCGCTGCCGGAGCGTCCTTGACGCAGTTGGCTGGAGAGATGGAGGCGGAATCAACGTGTGTCATCCTCTACGAGCTTTGGCAGTAGCATTTCTGATTGCGCTGGCTGGATATACTTCATCCGCGATTCGAATGCGGGTCTATGATTACTCATGCCTGACAATTTCCGCGTACAGTCTTAGTGTGCGGTAGACATGTGGCCTTGATGCAGCTGGCCCATGTCACGCCCCGTAACGCATCGCACATATGTACAGGGTTATGCTGTGAGCCGGCGGAGTGCACCAGGACGTGGTGTGGAAAAAAAACATAGTTGGCTAGAACGCACTTGTTGGGGCCCGCGCTGGCTATAACATGCTTTGCATTTTTGGAGACCCGGATTGGGACGGGGGGGCACCTTGGTCCTCGGAAGTGGCGTGATTCCAGTGGGCGGGTTAGGGGGGGCTTGCAGAATCATGTTAAACGTTATAGGCTGACGGCGTCCGAATTACTCGTAAGACTCGACACACTGGCCAGCATGCTGCACTGTAGCCTTCGCGTGCCTGCCTCTGACGTCACGCTCCTGCCGGACGGGGAGCGAAGATGGCCAGCAGCCCCACCCACCCCCCTCGGCAGCAGCCTCCTCCCGCGCACCCGAGAAAGAGCGGCCGCCAGCCTGAACCTGTCCACCCTGCCCCAGATGTGCGCCGCGGAGCCCACCTGTCGCACGCCCACCACGGCGACCACCACGACCACCGCCGCCACCGGGCGCCGCGCCCACGCGCTCGACGAGCCTGCCCCGCCCGAGAGCGCCGCGGCCTCCGGCGCGGCTGCGCCATCGGCTGCGCCACCGGCCGCTGGGCAGCGGCCTGCGCCCGCCGAGGAGCGGGCCCGGGCCGGAGGGGGGCCCTCGCTCGCCTCGGATGGGCTACACTTCCTCCTCCTCCACCACCTCCTCCTCCTCCTCCTCCACCCCCTCCTCCTCCTCCTCCTCCTCCCCCTCCTCCTCCTCCTCCTCCTCCTCCTCCTCCTCCACCTCCTCCTCTTCCTCCTCCTCCTCCTCCTCCTCCTCCTCCTCGGGCCGGAGGGAGGCGTCCTGGACAGGGCCTCGGCTTCGAGGGTCGAAGGGTTCGGAATCTCTTGTTCAGCGGCAGGTCGGCGGAAGCCGGCGGAAGCCGGCGGAAGGAAAAGATGCGCCCCAAAAGATCGGATCGTTTCTGGGGTTCAGGGTTTCCCGAATCGGCCACGCAGGAGGGATTTGTCGCCAGAGCGGCCTCAGGTGCAGGCCGACCGGGGTCCCCTGGCCGTCGAGTGCGATGCGACAGCAGTGGCTTGCGCGCCCGAGGTGGGCGCCGCCACGTCCCCCGAGAGCCAGGCCGGGAATCGCAGGGACGCCTCTGCCGGGGCCAGGCCTGCGTGTAGCTGGTCGGAGAAGAGCAGGTGACGCAAGCATACCTCAGGCAGTGGCGAAGCGTCCTGGCGTGCCTATAGCCCTACCAGGCAATGTTCCGAGAACCTGTTGTGGTTCCCACGGAATGTTCTTAGAAGAATTCTGGTTGGGACTGTCTTGTTTTATCACATCGGTTTTGTGGTCCCAGAACATTGAATTTGTTATTAGAGCATTGTTGGGTTCTAAAAACATGTCGTGGTAGGACTATAGGAATGCCGGGACGGTCGGTCCCTGCTCAAATACTTGTTCGGAGCTCTGCGCAGATTTCTTGTGTCGGTGGTGGACCCACCCTTGCAGCGGTTCCAGCGCCGCCCCTGGCGCACCCTGCGCGCCAGAGAGTGGGCTCCAGCGCCTAATTACCCAAGAAATCCCCGCAGCTCCGACGGTGTATGTTTGTGTGGATGTGCTCTTCTTCTATCGCTCCCTCCCTCCCTCCCTTCGCGGAGTTCCGGAAGCTGCTGTGGTTGCTTTGTTTCAGAGGCCCGAGCTTAGCGCGCGGGCATGCTCCGACGACTGCCGCGTTGTCAAGAGGGCGCGGTTGCGAGGAACGAGGCGCCTCTTGGGCCCCAAATCTGGCCGAGCCTGGCGCGCTCCGTGATCACAGCATCCCGAACAACACGGTAGACATTCTGATCAAATTCGGCCCAGAAGCGATCCAGGACCCCCAGAGACAGTGGATATGGATATTTGTGGCCCCCCCAGGGTCCAACGGGATCCATATCGATTGCTTCCTGGGGTGCTGGGAGATTGGGTCCCCCGAGGCTGTAGAGATGTCGCAGCTGAGGCTTCGGTGAGACGCCTCCGATCCATTAATCATTAGCCTTAAGCCAGGTCTGTCCATCTACAGGGGGAATATTCAAACATAGATTAAGCATAGAACGGGGATTAGTTTTGGAATGTTGTCTGAGTATTTTTATTTCTCGTCGAAAATCGGCCTGTCGGGGGACAGGCCCGACCTAACACTAGCCCTCTGCCTGCTCAGAAGGCCAGCTCCTTCGCCCCCCACCCCCTCGAGCACCGCCGCTCCTCCCCCCGTCCCAGACCGAGGCCGTGGCCGAGGCTTCGGCCTCCGGACCCCGACTGTTTGTCACAGGTGCGCGTGCCGCTCCGCTCGGGTGATTGCGACAAGCGCACGGACCCACCGATCTGGCGCAGAAAGCTGGACCGGAAGCGGGCTCGGAGACTCGCGGGCAGCTCCAGAAGAGAGAGGGCCTCCCTTCGAGCGAGCGACGGGTTGGCTTCCCGCTGGCGGGAGCTGCAGGAAAACCTTCAGTGGAGATGACCGTCGCCACGGCCCCGCGGTCGAAGCAGGCGAAGGATATCGAGAGCCTGGCGTCCTCCAACGTTGGGAAGTCGCACCCCCCAAGGGGCCGAATCGCGCCAGGAAGTGGCCCGCTTGCGACAGTCCTGCATCACAGGGCTTTTCCGCCCGAACAAGAGATCGGAGTAGAGTGTGGGCCTCGTGACTTGTGTAATCCAGCCAGCGCCGTCACGACAGAATTACGCACGGCGGAATTCCGAAATTTTGAGTTGCGCAGTCCGGCCATCGGCGTCACGACAGCAGTATGTTACGACGGCGTTTGTAAATCTGCGCTGCGAGACGTGCTGATTTTGTTGGCTGTGTAGCCCGGCAGGCTGTCCTTCACGGCGTCGACTCTGGTCTCCTTCCTCCTCGCCTCCTCCCCTTCATTCGCAGGTCGATAGACATTCTACCCAGACGCGTCGATAAGCGAATTGGCCGTTTTCGGTTCGCGAGAGGGCGTCGCGGCCGTAATTTTTGCGGGTCCAGGTCCGTCGGTTTCTGTCGTAGGCCGTTTTCACTAAAGGGTGGTTTTCTAAAGGGAGGTTTGTCGACTGCCGATTCATCCTCGCGAGGCTCGCGCGGGGTCCACATGAGGTCCGCTCGAGCTCGGCCTCGGAGTAGAGCGCCAGGCCCTCGTACAATGCGGCTGAGGAGCCCCTGGGAGCCTGGAGTTAAGTCGGGCGTGTCCCTCTAAAGGAGGAGTACTCGAGCATCGCTTTTTTGTTTAAAAAAATGGTCTGCGGACGGCTTCTCTACTAGTTCTGACTATTCTGGAGTATTGCTTGACTATGTTTCATTTGTCGTCCAACATCCGCCTGTAGGGGGGCACGCCCGACCTAACGAGGGGCTGGAGGGCGGGGCTGTGCTGGATCGCTGGAGGGCGGGGCGTCTGGACGAGGTGCCCACGAGTCGCACCGCCCGTCCACCCTGCGCACTCCTGTCGGAGGGAGGAGAAGCGATACCAACACCACCAGGGGGCCCACCTCCAGCGAGGAGGCCCACGATGCCTCCCCGAGCTGGATGCTGGGGATGCCTCGAGCGAGAGAGGGGGGGGACCACACCACCAGGGAGGCTCCCCTTGCCTCCTCGCACCTCCTCGCCCTGCTGGTGTCGGTGTCGCCTTTCCTTGTTCCCATCCTGGGGCCCCAACCTGGCAAGACGTTGGATCGCGCCGAGACGACCCTTTCGGTCGTGTGTTTTCCGTGAGGCCCCCCACGCAGTGTCCAGTGACACGAGGGAGTAGTGGGCGCGAAAAGGAAAGCCCACCGAAAGTGGCAGGAGTGAAGCCAGGGTGGCTTCGCCAGCGTGAGCCGGCGGCAGCTCGGCGGAAGCAAGTGCAGTGAAGGCATGCCTCCACGAGTTGTGTGGATGCTGAAGTCTTCAAGGCTTCGGAGCCAGCGGCGCTCAGAAACAGATGTGGTGTCTTGAGGGGGGAAGGGTCCTGAGTTTTTTGTTGTTCCCAGTTCTTGCAGGGGGGTGCGGGTCCAGGTCCGAGGTCTTCAGGCTCTGGAGGAGGCCGAAGAAAAAACGTGCTGGACGCATGCTGAAATGCCAGCCGGGCGCCGTCGCCCAGGCGGGCGATGCGGCACGCCAGTGGCGTCGCGCCCTGCCGACTGGTGGGCCCACGGGGGGACGTGACCCTGTTGCCCCCGATCGGCGGGAAGGGCCTCCGTCCAGGCCCGAAGGGCCTCGAGCGCCAGAGGAGGAGGAGGAGGAGGAGGAGGAGGAGGAGGAGGAGGAGGAGGAGGAGGAGGAGGAGGAGGAGGAGGAGGAGAGGGGGGAGAGCTATGATGTTCCAACCTACTTTAGCTTTGACCACCAGACAGCATATCGAGCACCAAAAAAAAGTACCGATGCTCCAGGGCTTTGACACATGTCGGGCCCTGGGAGACGCTCGGCCGACACTATTTCGACACTGTTCCGACACTCTTTCGACACTTTTCCAGGCGCTCGAAATGATTTCTGGGATGTGGTCCTTAAGTACGATGGGAGCAACATAATCGGTATCATTTAGCCAATCCCCATCCCCATCCCGTTCGAGACCCCCCACCAAATTACCACCCCAGTCGGGGATACACCCCTCGAAACTCGAAGGGAACGACCTATATCCCCATCTGGGGGGGTACATCGGCCAGTGAGGCCCAGGCCACGCCGCTGGGGATGGGGATCAGTTAAACGATACTCACATAACTCTGGTCTCCTTCCTCCTCGCCTCCTCCCCCTTCGGCCTCGCGAGGATCGTGCGGGGTCCGCCGGAGGTCCGCCCGAGCTGGGCCTCTCGCAGGCCCTTCTCA